TTACATGATAAAAAAAAAAATCAAGGTAGAAGCAATATACACTTAGCAAGGAGGGTGAGGAAACATGAGGCATGAAGCATCTGTTAGTCTGTCAAATCAAGTGACGGATACAACATCTAAAAAAAAAAAAGGTTTTGTGAGATGAGTGTGAAAACCTTGAAAATAAAAAGAGCCTAGAAATTGAAACAAGTTCCATATCTGCAGGTAATAGCACAGAGGGCTTGTGAGACCTCCATCTATTTTATTGCATATTTTTGCTACACCATTATTAAGGTGAATTATCAGTTATGCATAAGTAACTGATATTTCCTCTTACAATTTTGTTTTAAAAATAACTATTCTAAAATCTTATCCAGCTCTTATGCCATCATTAATTCTCAGGATAAAGCTTAATAAAATATTCTGAGCCGGATTCATAGGCAATATCAACATGATTCAGATTTGCTTCTTACATATTATTTTTGTTGGAGGCTCTTCTTTTGGATTGAATGAAGAAATACTTATTGAAATGCAGATTCCTTGGCCCCATAACAGACTTGTTGCATCAGCAGGTCTGGAATGGGGTCTGAAATCTGGATTCTTAAGAATCTTGCCAAGTGAGTCTTGTAGTCATGCAGCGGTGGGCACATGTGCACTGTGCAGACCACTTTTGATAGTAACTGAATTATGAAAAAAATACGGTAGTGTTTAGCAGCAGGGATGTTTATTTTAATGGCTTTGTGTTTTGTTGGAAATATGACTGGGGGGTAGGAATGTGTAAGAAGAACTGTGGTAGTGCGAAAAGACCAGCCATTGCTCTTGAGCAAATGAGAGAAACTTTTAAAGTTTGGGTGACATAGGGATGTTTAGCTTCCGGATGCGATGTTTAGTTTTTACAGCTTTTATGGTTATAAAAGCATTTTTTAATTTAAATATTGCAGGAAAAATAACTTTTTTTTCCTGGTCTGAAGTTCCCTTGCCCTTAATTTTTTTCACTAGTTTTATTAGAAAATAAATATAATAAAACTGTTATATTAATATTTTGATTTTGTTTTGAGTTCTCTTAGGAACACAACGTTATAGCAGAGAAGGCTGCATGCTACTTTAATACTCACACACCTATGAGATACCCATTATTATTCTCATTTCATAGATAAATGAACAGAGCCTCAAAGAGGTTAATTAACTTGACCGAACTCACACAGCAAATAAGTGGTAACGCCAACACTAATTTCAGACTGCCTGGCTCCAAATCCAAGGAACTTTCTGTAACATCATGCTACTCACTTCAAAGAGTGTACTTGTTGTTGTTCTTTAAAATGGACATTCTTGTCTTCTATGCCCCATAAGCAATGTAAAAATCCACAAATTGTATTCTTTAAAATCAGTTTGGTCAGATGGTTTGATGGTAGTACTCTTTTAAATAGAAATTCTAAGAACGAGTTCACAAAGGACCAGTGTAGTGTGTGTGTGTGTGTGTGTGTTCTGTGCTGCAAAGTGAATGAGGGATGGCTATGCTATGAGCAGTATTTGTCTAAATGGGCAAATAATATTCCGTTCTGTCACCATGTACTCTTTTCATCATGATGTTTTCATATCCTTTATTGCAACTTTCCAAATGGAAATTGCATGATGTCTGGCTAGTTGTACAAGCATACCTTTTCCATTTTAAAAGCATATGCGGAACTCTGCAAGAAATGAACCACAGACTACTAAAATTTTCTCAGATTTGAGCCTTCTGCACTATTCCAATTAAAGTGGATCTTTCTCTCCACCATGGGAATTGCACTGTGTGACTGATTACCAAGCACATCATGTAAACAGCTCTTAGAAACTGCAAACAGCCATTATGGAGAATGCAACTTATTAACAAAGGTCATATTAGAATTTCACCCTGGTAACTAATCGTGTCAAAGGTACAGTACATCAATAGGCACATAGACTAGGAAGCAGTGTTTTCCAATTAAGTGAATCAGTTTCACCTTCTGAACTATAAATAAACTGCAGCAACAGCTCCTGATTAGGCTTAAGGAGTCTGACTTCCATGGCAAACAAATGCCTCAGAACTTAAGCATACTTAGAAAGTTAATCCTGTAAGGAGTCAATGAACAGATATAAAGTTTCAGCATTAATGCCTTGGACCTGAGTTTCCTCAAATTTCTGCAGTGCAGGCAGAATGGGAATGTATCCCTCTGAATAGATAAACAAGCCCTGAATTAGTTTTCAGCCTCCCTCAGGATAACTAATTTAACAGACATAAATCCATTTTCAAAAACAGAATAAAAATATTTGCTTCCCTAAGTATTTTACTTAGCAAATAAAATATTTGCTTTCCCAAGTAATAGCTTGGTTGGGCTCCTGCCCCTACATGAATAAGTGCAATTAACTCTACTCAGTGGAAATTTTAACAAGTATGTTAAAAAACAGATTTTGACCCTTGTTTATTTTTATTTGATGTCTGTCTTTAGAACTAATTCAAAACCCATTCATTCAGTTTAGATCTGAATTTAAATGTAATCCACTTCTTTAATTTGAAAGCATTGTACTTAGTAGTTATATAGGGCTGGCAATGCTGACCCATCTTCAAGGGAGGGTACACTTGAGCTGTTTTTCTAATGTTAGTACTGGATTTCTGTAACCTTTGTAGGTCTCAGTTTTCTCATCTATTAAATGAAAGCCTTGGACTAAATAAGATTTAAGCCTTTTGTAGCTAAAATTTCTATGTATCTGTGTACATACATAGCTAACAAAAGTTCAGACATTATTTAACCAGCCCGGATAGAAATGATTAGTTTCCAGTATCTACAGTATTCACTGTAATTTTTGTTATAATGTATGGGAGAGAGATGATAAATATATAAGAATGTAAATTTCTGCAAATTCAAAGAAATAATGGTTAGTATATTTTCCTATTAGGAAGATAAGAGATTTATTAATTAGAAATACAAGCCCACTTTACATAAAAATCATTTTAGGATTTTTATATAAAACATTCAATTTCTGAAAACAGCTTTGAATAGCTATGTGTTCTCTTTAAATTTGCATAAAAAGTCCTAGCCTAGGGCTGTGACTGATGATAGGAGATAATAGGAACTGGGTTTTTTCATACCATTTCCTCTTTTACAGAAACACTGGAGACAACAAATTGAACTTAGAAATCTCCGATATCAAATCCCATTATTTAAATTTATAATCTCTTTACCTACTGGGTTTAACAATTCCAGCAATTCCAAGGCAGGGATAGAGGAGGGGAGAAACATTTCCTTTTATTTTTTTATAACTTTTTATTTTATAATGGAGTATAGCTGATTAACAATGTTGTGATAGTTTCAGGTGCACGGCAAAGGAGAAACATTTCCTTGAACTAAGGTTCAAGAGTATTTATTTCAAGTGTTGAGAAAGGTTAATGTGAGGTTGATTGATCATATGGTAGGTGGTTTTGGGGACAGACAAAATTGACCTGCATCACATGAAGTTGCAGATTGAATGTTTTGTTTGACGTAGAATGGTCCCCGACTTGGTAATAGTTTGACTTAACGACTTTACAGTGATGTGAAAGTGATATACATTCAGTAGAAATAGTACTTAGAATTTTGAATTTTGATTGTTTGTCTTTTCTGTGGGCTAGAGGTACTCAGTATGATACTCTCTCATGAAGCTGCGCAGTGGCAGCCAGCTTCAGCTCCCAGTCAGCCGCACGATCACGAGGGTAAACAACCAGTATGCTTACACCCATTCTGTACCCACACAACCATTCTGTTTTACACTTTCAGTACTGTATTCAATAAAGTAGATGAGGTATTCAGCACTTTGTTATAGAATAGGCTTTGTGTTAGGTGATTTTGTCCAAATGTAGGCTAATGTAAGTGTTCTGAGCATGTTTAAGGTATGCTATGCTGCTCAGCTATGATGTTCAGTAGTTTAGGTGTATTAAATGCATTTTTGACTTATGATATTTTCAACTTACGATGGGTTTATTGGGACATAACCCCATCCTGAACTGAGGAAGATCTGTAGTGCAATGGTTGGAAAATGAACTCATCATCTAAATATTCTAGGGTAAAATCTTGGCTTTTGATAAGGTTTTTCCTTAAAGTTTTGTACACACGAATGCAGAATTACTTACCATGACATGCTTTGATGTGTGAAGTGAAATTATAAGGTGGGAAATGTTTCTTCATTTTGCCCTCTGTCTGTGTACCTTTTTTGTGTCCTTAAGCACTCTTGTCCTCTAGATACCACTTTTTTTCCATCTCAAAGAAAGACATCTGACAGGTAGATTTACACGAAGCTCTTGTGACTTAATATATCATTCCTTCCAGAAGATTTAATATACTTAATTTAATATTTAATGTATTTAAAAGAGGGTTAGAGGATTAACTCAGGTGACTGAATCTCTACTAATAATATGCTACCTGGATCCAGGAGATATTTCTAATCAAAAGGATCTTCTGGATGCTCTTCTTATTCTATAACACAGGCAGGTAGCTATTATTCTTTCTTTTCGCAAAGCTGTGAGAAGATGCTGAGATAGTGTAAGCTCATCAGGGTTAGCATTTTTGTTCATTTCAATTACTATTTTTCCCTAGCACTTAAACAAGTGTCTGACACAGAGTAGGCACTTAACACATATATATTAATTTATGAGTCCTTACTATCTCTTACTATCAAAATTCAGGTATGTCAACTCAGGGCCACTAGGGACTGCAGCCATCTGTCTGTGAAGCTTAGTATATTGGGAAGCCCAGTTATAAGTGGAAACTGGATGAAGAACGATAATGGGCAAGTGTGGTGGAGACTGCCATGGACGTACCAAAATAATTTTCTCTTCTTCCTGAGCAGATAGGTAGACTACATTTCCCAGCCTCCCTTGCATTTAGATGTGGTGGCCATGTGACTAAGTTTTAGCCACCTGAATGTGGACTGAAGTGATTTGAAATACTGCCAGTCCTAGTTCTTCAAAACCTCCTTTATGATTCTTTATACTTCCTCTTCCCCCATTTGCCATCTGGAAAAGGATCCTACAGAACACTTCAAACCCTAAGGGAAACTGGAAGGAGACTGGATGCTGAAATGATAATGTGGAAATCACCCTGACTGAACAGGAACATCTGTGTTGGATTTCGTGTAAGTGAAAGATAAACTTTTTTACTAAGCCATTATGGCTTTTAATTTAGAGGAGAATGGAGGACCATTCAGAAAAAGAGTGGTGAAGCAAGATAGGGCAACAGGTAGGAGCAAGTCCGGAGGGATAGAAATGTGGTTGAAACATTAGTATAGGGGATATGAGAAGTAGGCAAGTATGGGGGGGTATGAGAAGTAGGCAAGTGGGTAATTTGGGGTCAGAGTCTGATGCTAGGGAATGAATGACAAGAAATGGAGTTACTGGCTGAAAGCTAGTGATATTAGTTAGTCTTAATATTTTGGGCCAGAGTCTTCCTTTGAAGTTAATAGTTATTACATAATCTCAGCCCCAGCTGTTCATGAGTGTTCATCATTCTACCACATAAAACTTAAGATCTCATGGCCTTATTGCCTAACAAGTCTTCTCTTAACCAGCTAAAAGCTTCTCCAGAGACCTTGTTTAGAGGTAACACTGAAGTAATTTTCCTTTTATCCATTAAAGTTTTAATTAACAGTTACTTTGTCTTTGAACCTTTCATATTTAGTGAGAATTTATTTCCAATAAGCCATTAATGTCTTAAAGTCTCCACCTGTTGTGCTTAATTTGTCTGGTTTATGTATTTATGGAGAAAAGCAGTGTAATAATTTTTGATTCTTCTGCCAACATACTTCAGTGACATTTTTTTGGCCATTTTTAAAAAGTTTCTTTACTTAGATTTTAATCTCCATAAGTGCATGTCAAGCTCAACCATCTCCTTAGGGAGGCTTTCCCTAATACTCCACCCTTCAGACTTAGTTGTTGACCCCACTTATGTGTTCAAAAAACAACAACAACAAAAAAACGCCCAGCTTTGTCTTCCCTAATCATAGGAATTCTACCCTGATACAACTGTACCTAAGCTTATATGTCTCCCCATACTAAACTGTGAGCTCAAGGACGTATTATGTCTTATGTCTACACTTTCGATGCCCCAGAAAGTATTACTGAAGAAATAATCAATGAACTAACTAAATATTGCTATTGTATTATATTATTTTAGTGCTTAAAGCTAGTACTGTATAAAATTTCAAGAATATAATAAATGCCATTTTTGTGATAATGATAAATGAAAAAAAAAGCCTTAAAATTTTTTATCAAGGTATAATATATATAAAGCATATACAGTGTGCTAATCTTAATTGTACAACTCAACTAATTTTTCATATATATATTCATGCATTAGCCTCTACCTGTTTCCCACACCCCAGGAGTTTCCCTTCTGCATCTTCCCAGACAACACCAATCCTTTCCTTGTCCTGAGATAAACACTATTCTTCTATCAATTATTTTCATACTTAAAAAAAAAAACTATACTACAGTCAATACCAAATATTGCTGTTGGTGAAATAAATTACTGTGAAGTAGCAATAATGTGAAGACCTGACCTACAATACAGACTACTGCCCAATTCCCAAATAATCCCTTGGGGCATTTGATATAAGATAAAAATTTAAAATTAAAAAACTCAGTGCCAAACAGGATAATTTCAAAGAAATACACACCCAAACTACTGAAAAACAAGGATAAAGATAACAAAGATAAAGGTTCATTCTATATGCATGCATATACCACTTATTATCTATTGCTATGGTTATCCCAAAAGATTGTCAATGACTGAAAGCTAAAGGAACATAAAAATGTGCTTATAGGAAAAAAAAGTAAAGTATTAGTAAGGTATATTTTATGAGAATGGGGCAGTGGTGACACAAATCTTTGAAAACCAAAATTTGATCCTTATACCCTAAGTGCTATGTTTCTCAACAGAAAGATGAAAGAAAGAAAGGGAAAATAGAATATCATGAAATACAAAGTCCACTTGGTGTTTAATTCTGTTTTTGTTTTTTAATGTTGGAACCTTCAGCAATATTAGGTTAAAAGTTCATTGCTCTTTACAGTGTGGAATGGACTTCAGTTTGTCACAGTGCTAGACAAATGCTTTGAAGAAGAGGAAGTTATAGGTAAGTTTGTCCCATGTAACTAGTTATTTTGGGATGTAGTGAGGGAGTGTCTGTCTGCACTTTAAGATGAAAAAGGAACATGAACTGTGAGAGGCTTTCCCATCAGGGCAAAGGCAAGTATACAGACTGCTCCTTTGTGTTTTGGTGGGTAGTTTCAGCTTTGTCATAGGTTTTTATTTTTTTTTCTTTAGGGTATTAGAATTCTATAAAGTTGAATTTTCAGGTACTGAATGGCAAGTTCCCCGAAATAGGAGAGGAAATTGTTCTAGCTAACTCTGCCTCTCAGGCAAATGTTTACTGAAGAACAGCCATTCATTAATCTTGGAACAATAAAGTTCTTTTCGTGTCCTGTCTCCTGTTAATAATGCATGACTGAAAGTTATGTTCTAACTGTAAATCAGGAAAAACAAAACATACCACAAAGTTATTTTCCTCTCAAGTGCAATAGCTTGATATGTGTGTTGTTTTATTATTCCCACTTGGGGCTGTACATCTAATGTTATCTTTGAAAATGTGCTAACAAGCCTGAAAGTATTGGGGCTTTTTATCACATTTTTATTACAATGGAGGATTTTGAAAAATGAAATCTGATGCTTCTTACTCAGAATGTAATGTGAAAGCAAATTAGGAAATGAGGACATGGCATAGAATTTATGCCACATGTAGAATTGTCTTAATTCATTATCTTGCATGAAGTACATTTTTTCTTTCATTTATGACATAGCTATTTTTATGTTGCTAACATATTTTTAATAAGAATGCTGTTCAGTGTTCTTTTTTTTTTTCCTTCAGAAGATCTTTTATAGTTAAACTGATCTCTAGGAAGGGGGCTTGGATGACCCAATAGTAATGTGTTAAGGCCACTGGCATTGCCTTTAAAAATGTGACAGACTATTAGGAATAATATTGAGGTGAAGTTTTAAAATTCTAGAGAAGACATTTTGGAACTCTGGGGAGAGTTGTTGAGTTGGAAATTAACTCATCATTCAGATACATAGTAGTCTGGTTGAAAGGAAATGGACTTCTTTACAAATATCAGTAATGCTGACAATTATGAGTTATAAATTCATAAATTTACCATAACAAGAAATGTGAGGCCACATTGAATAGTCTAGGAGAGTCCAATTTAACTACTAAATGCCTTTGTAAAGTGGATAATTTATTGAATTCCATTGGGACCTATTTCTACATAGTAAAATGCAAAGATCGAATTAGACCTGTGTTATAAAAAATATAATTCAAGGATCCATTAGGTTTCATAGACTGATATTTGGGAACTTGGTGGGGAGAAAACTTGTGTGGTATTAGGATCTAAATTGAATATCCAACTGCCATAAATGGAATTAATATAGCTTGTTGTGTGGATCTCATGCCTTCAAAAATTTTTAGGAAAAAAAAAGAAAAAGACTTATGATAGATCTATTGGTTTTCTCCTTACCTTAGGAAACAGACATTCATCATAAAGCTACAGATAGTGCACCTTAGTTAAAGTGAGGATGAATCAGATTGTATATCCTAAACCTAGTTGTCATCAGAGATGATGTCAGAAAAGAAAGAACTATGGGCAATATCTGTGATAGTTTGCCTTGGTGAGGGATCTTCTCTGTATCCTAATAGGGGAAACTTTTAGCGGTAACAGAGGCCTATACTGTGGCCCCTGTGTGTATGGATATTTCAGGAGCTTCTGGTCAATCATCTGGGCAGGACTGGAAATATCTGGAGCAATAATCTGGGCAGAAAAGCAGCAATAGAAGCAGGCATTCAATCTGCCAAAAGTAAAAAGGGTTGCAAACTCCAGTTGTGCTGGTTTAAACAGGCACTTCCAGTAACAATGGAGATGGTAACATCTCTGGCAATCAGCTGTTCGTTATTTTACAAGAACTTTCCCAAAGATGGAAGTAAAGTGTTTTATTTTTGCACAATTCATATATTAATATATCATTCTCCTTTGACTTATGAAAGAGGAATGAGTTTGATAACTGAAAGAGCTCATTGATCTAACAGAATTTAAAATTAGCTGTTTCTACATGACAGTCTTATTTTTTATTTCTTTGAAATTGAAAGAAAAAAGATTCTCCATTGTAAGTGGATTAGTTAAGTTGATATATAATATTCTCCTTTACATCGTCTTGCCATATGTTTATAGGACAAAGATCATATTGCTGAGTTCACAATATAAATTACAGGTATCTTCGTTATTACATGAACCACTATGTAATAACTAATTATCACTTGTTGTGGTAGTTAATTTTATGTGTCAGTCTGACTGGATCATGGGATGCCAGATATACGGTTAAACATTATTTCTGGGTGTGTTGTCTGTGCACGTGTTTCCAGAAGAGGTTAGCATTTGGATCAGTGGACTGAGTAAAGGGAAATGACCTTCCCAATGTAGATGGGCTTCATCCAGTGGGTTGAGGGCCTGAATAGAACAAAAAGGTGGAGGAAAGGAGGTCTTTCTTGTTCTAGCTCTCTTTCTCTTTCTCTTATTCTCTACCTGACTACTGAGCTGGGGCACTGATCTTCTGCTGCCCTTGGCATTCCTTGTTCTCAGGCCTTCACGCTTGGACTGAAATCTACACCATTGGCTCTCTAGCTCTCAGGTTTTCTAACTACACCATTGGCCTTCCTGGGTCTCCAGCTTGGAGACTGCAGATCATGGGACTTCTCAGCCTCCATCATTGTATGAGCCAATACCTTATAGTAAGTTTCTTTATATATATTCTTTGCTTCTGTTTCTTTGGAGAACCCTGACTAATACATTTAAATCACAAAGTAGACATTGCATAGATATAAATTATCCTAACTATAAGTACTTATAAATTATCAGGTAATTGGCCAGTTGTTTTTGAGCAAATGTTCTATTGTTGGAAATTTTGTCAGTGCAAAAATTATCTACTGTTAAAATTTTATGGGTTTATTATGTTCATATATTTTCAAATTGTTACATATTTTAAAATAACTTCTAAGTTATTATATGGTGTTTTTCTCATATGTCGGGATAAAAATATAGGTTTTAGAAAACAAAATGGAAAGCCATCAGAGAAGTAAACAAAGGAAAATATTTTGTATTATTTAGATACATTTTTGGAGAAAAGAGATGTAATGCTATAAAAAGGAGATTTCAGAGCTATCCATCTCAGTGTAATGTAGCACTAATGTGTCACTGATGAAGAAGGATGCGAATTTAGCTTCTAGCTACATGTCAACCAGAAATGGTAAATTTCAAGAAAAACTAGGATAAAATGTACATGAAGATTCATTAAACCAAATATATTTTCTGGAGATCTGGATACTTGATGTAACATGAATATTAAACAATGGAAAATTTAAAAATTACCAAATGACAGAACAGACTTTAGAAGCATTAATGGGTTCTTCCAAATTGCTAAAAATATACTAGATCCTTGTTACTTTATTACAAACCAAAGGATTTTATATATGTTTTTCTATTTTGCAAATTAGGTGGGGATGTAAAATGTTCAGCTGAAGAATGAGAAGGGGCAAAACATAGACAACATTCATGACAACATCTTGACAAAGATGAAAAGAGTGAAAATAGCGTTGTGTTCAAATTTGAAATCCGATAAACTATTGAAGCTTTCTAAACAGAGTAGAAGTAAACATAAGAATACTGGCAAGGTTTTGTTGAGCAAATTATATACAAAATTTAGTTTTTGCCAAGGCAATGACCAGTGTTCAGAGGATAATCCAAGAAGCTCTATGATATTTACATCATGGGATTTTCTTCTACTGCAGAAAAATATATCAAAATGAACATTTTAAGTTTTCTTTTAAATCCAACAAAAAACATAGTCATAGAACAATCATACATATTCTTGGAAAAGTACTTAAAGAAAAAAAGAGCAACCAAAATCTAGATATAACAACGTAATTTGAGGTGTAAGAGATACAATAATACCGCACATATGCTTGGAAAAGAGAATGGGTAGAAGATACTCAAAATAGTTGAAGATATTTTACACGTCTGTGCATGGTCTAAATTTGTGGTAAATAGTAAGGTATTGGGTGGGCCAAAAGTTTCGTTCGTTTTTTTCCATAAGATGGCTCTAGTAGCACTTAGTTGTCTTTAACTTCATTCAGTTTTTAGATTGTATATGAAAGCTGTCATATCAGCGTGCATTTTAAAAAAGACATCAAAATTGGTGAATTTTTGTGTAGCCATTTTAATATTGAAGATGGAAGAAAAAAGCAACATTTTCAGTGTATTATGCTTTATTATTTCAAGAAAAGTAAAAACGCAACTGAAACGCAAGAAAAGATTTGTGCAGTGTATGGAGAAGGTGCTGTGACTGATCGAAGATGTCAAAAGTGTTTGCAAAGTTTCGTGCTGGAGATTTCTCATTGGATGATGCTCCACGGTCGGGTAGACAAGTTGAAGTTGATAGCAATCAAATCGAGACATTAATTGAGAACAATCAACGTTATACCACGCGGGAGATAGCCGACATACTCAAAATATCCAAATCACCAAATCAAGCGTTGAAAATTATTTGCCCCAGCTTGGTTATGTTAATTGCTTTGATGTTTGGGTTCCACGTAAGTTGACTGTATTTCTGCATGTGATTCTCTGCTTAAACATAATGAAAATGTTCCGTTTTTAAAACAAATTGTGATGGGTGATGAAAAGTGGATACTGTACGATAATGTTGAACAGAAGAAATCATGGGGCAAGGGAAATGAACCACCACCAACCACACCAAACGCTGGTCTTCATCCAAAGAAGGTGATGCTGTGTATATGGTGGGATTTCAAGGGAGTCCTCTATTATGAGCTCCTTCTGGAAAACCAAACGATTAATGCCAATAAGTACTGCTCCCAGTTAGACCAGCTGAAAACAGCACTCGATGAAAAGCATCCAGAATTAGTCAATAGAAGACGCATAATCGGGCTTCCCTGGTGGCGCAGTGGTTGAGAGTCCACCTGCCGATGCAGGGGACACGGGTTCGTGCCCCGGTCCGGGAAGATCCCACATGCCGCGGAGCGGCTGGGCCCGTGAGCCATGGCCGCTGGGCCTGCGCGTCCGGAGCCTGTGCTCCGCAACGGGAGAGGCCACAACAGTGAGAGGCCCGCGGACCACAAAAAATAAATAAAAAAAAAAAGGAAACGCATAATCTTCCCTCAGGACAACACAAGACCGCATGTTTCTTTGATGACCAGGCAAAAACTGTTACAGTTTGGCTGGGAAGTTCTGATTCATCTGCCATATTCACCAGACCTTGCACCTTCGGATTTCCATTTATTTAGGTCTTTACAAAATTCTCTTAATGGAAAAAAATTCAATTCCCTGGAAGACTATAAAAGGCACCTGGAACAGTTCTTTGCTCAAAAAGATAAAAAGTTTTGGGAAGATGGTATTATGAAGTTGCCTGAAAAATGGCAGAAGGTAGTGGAACAAAAGGGTGACTACGTTGTTCAATAAAGCTCATGGTGAAAATGAAAAATGTCTTTTATTTTTATTTAAAAACCTAAGGCACTTTTTGGCCAACCCAATAAAAATCTATATTAATTCCTATACATTTAAAATGCTTTTCAGTGTGAAGTAATATTGAAGTATATTAAAAGTATATTTACCTGCATAAGTTTGCCACCATTGTTAAAACAGCAATGAGAATGTCGAATTGATGCCTTTGTGCCATAGAATACTCGTTAGTGGATACTCTTCTAATGCTCTTTTAGAAATTGTTGATGTATTTATAAAGATCTAAATCCTGTAATGAAAAACAAAGATATATTTTAAAAATATACTTTAAAAATTTGTTTGGTCTGCACTAATGATATTTTAAGCAAACTTAATGTTATAGGCAAAATGATGCATAAACAAAAATCAGTGTATAACAGTCCCTGAAATCATTGAAAAGATTATGAAATTCTTTGCAGAAAACAAATTGTTGACATTTATGATAAATATTATTGATGCCAAATAAATTACACACTACCATTACTGACACCAGTTTCTCCAATTCAAGAAAAAGGATAAAGAAGACTCATTTTGAGTACAAACCTCATAATCAGCACATCTGTGATTCAAATATAATCTGAAAATCAATTTTTCCATGTCAAATGCAGTTTCTTCCTTATGAACGGCTTACTATGTTGAAAGAATTAGATTTTATATGTTTAAAGTAGCATATATATTTACCAATAAAATTAACTGATGAACATAGTAAGAAATGTGCTATTGATGATACCTCTATTCTTGAAGAACTAAAATGCTTAAATTTTATAAAACCTAGTACAGCTTTCATTATCATCTTGTGATATATTTGGACACAAATTTGCTGGACATCTTTTAAAATATCTTTATAGCCCTTTTTCTATATTACCTTTGCCAGCAAAGGAAGAAGTTCCTCATAAAATATATTACAAATGACTTAAGATCCACCCTGTCACATTATTCAAATTTATTTTTTGATAGAAAACAAATATTGGAGCAAGTATGCATGGAAATTGTAATAAACACTTTCATTTCCATGAAAGCAAGGAGTATAACTCTTTCACAACAAATTATTATATCCTAGTGACCTTAACTTTTAAATAACTGTAATTAAAAATTCAAATTTGTTACACTATTTTCAAATTTTGATCTACAGTATTTGTACAGAATGACTTTGTTTTTTGTCACTGTTATTATTAAAAATGAAAAAAAAATACTTTCACTTCTTTCTTTGAGTTGAGGATGGTATGATTCTTTTCTAATTTGCCTAAAGACAGTCTGCTCCAAATACTCCCTTTTACATTTCAAGAGCCGTGTCTGGGGGTCTCAAATCATAGAATTTTATTTTAAGTCATAGTTAGGATTTAAGATGTGATGGAAGGAAAGTTTCCACCAGACAAAGAAGTGAAGGAGAAAGTGCTCTACTTTTGTAAATGGGGCCAGAGGAAGGGTGACTATGATGAGAATTTTGCCTAAGACCACCATGGAAATAAGGAGAAAACAGAGTTTCTTTGAAGAAGCAGGAATATCTACATGGATAGGATATTAGATTTTTTAAATTTACTGAGTATTTCCCAAACAGCAACAGCAAAACAACAAAAACAAGCATCCAATAACCACTGTTTTAAAACTGAGATAGACTAAGATAGTTTTGGTGCTGAGTTGAAAGTCTGTTCACACTGCTTCCCCTCTTCCCACTATTGAGTGGGAATGAGGAATCTGTAGTAGAGATTAGATCTGTTTCTGGTAAAAACACAAACAACATATTTCAGCCATCTAAATTGTAGAGTGTAACTTTAAACTCATGCTACATTAACATTTATTTAACGTTTATTATGCTTTAAAAATGCTTTAAGTCTTTTATATCTGTTCAGTTATTGTTCATAAAAACTTATGAAGTAAGTTTAAAGAGATTAAGCAAGTGCCCAAATCATAGAAAATTACTTGCTCCACCAAAAATGTGTGCTCTTTGCACTTTATATTACCTCTTGATAACAAAAGTTTATTTTATAATTATTTCTGGAGAAAGAAAAGCAGATGGCAGTGGGGGGTGGTGCTGAAAGAGAAGTAAGCCCAGGCAGAGGGAGGGAGGGAGGGAGGGTGGGAAGGAAGGAAAGAGCGAAAGAAGAGAGGGAGGGAGGAAGGGTAGAAGGGAGGGAGAGAGGAAGGTGAGAGGGAAGGAAGGAATTGAGCCCACTCCTTGGGTTTAGAGGTATAAATATACATGAGAAAGATGTGAAGAGATTATAACTGCTCAAATTGTTGTCCTCTCACTTAAAGCAAATATCTGGAAAGGAAGAAAAAGGAGAAAACACCTCCAAAGGATGAAGAAATTGTAAGGGAATGATTGGATTCTAAAAGTAAGTTTTTACATTTCTTTTATTCTAGGATTAGATTCTGTTCTATGAAAGAACTTGTAGAAGGAATATTAGAGAGTAAGAATTTTTAAGAATTTTAAAGACTAGGAATTCCCTGGCAGTCCAGTGGTTAGGACTCAGTGCTTTCACTGCCAGGGCCCAGGTTTGATCCCTGCTGGGTGAACTAAGATCTCACAAGAGGCATGGCGTGGCCAAAAAAATTATGAAGACTAAGATAAATGCCAGAAAAGGATATTGGAAATTGTAATTTGAATTTTCACCATGGTAATATGGCTCTAGAGAAAATAGCATTATCAGATGGATATATAAAGGATTGATGGTATCTAAACAGTCATGATGAATAGCTTGATATTAAACCGGAGGGAGAATTTTAATGCAGGAACAATGAGTTTGCCTCTCAACACTGGCAGTGGCCTACATTTTATAGCAATGACCTACATGGAGAGAGATGTGCCATGTTTGAATTCGCAAATTACACAAAATTGAGAGGGACGGTAAAATATTGCATGGTAAAGAAAACTAGAGGCAAATTAATGTCAGTATGTTGCTGTGATAAATATAAAAAGATATAAACCATTCTGCAGTTTATTTAAAGAAAACACAAAACTTTACAAGTATAAAATGAGGGATATGAGGCTTAGACCAGTGAGCTTTCGGATGACCTGAAGCTCAATATGAATTGTTATTGTCATGTGGCTGTTGGTAAATCTACTTTGAGCCTGGACTTTATTAAAAAGAGGCACATTATCTCAAAAAAGGAAGTACCATGGCTAGTTCCGTACACCATTCTTTCAAAGAGACACAGGAAAACAAGCAAAGGGTAGATTTGGAGAAAGTGACCAGTCCAGAGTCAGAGAGCATTGCAGGCCTTTAAGGAGCCAGGCTTCTCTCAAACTGCCTTCTATATTTAAAAGCCTGTGTGGTGAAAAGTCAGCACACTTACTCAGGAGGATCTCTAGTCCTGTGGAAATAGTGTTAATGAATAGAAATTGCAAAGTAACTCATTTTTACTTAATTTAAGGCAGTATATCTTACATCACAATTGCCTAAATGAGCTGCTTCAGGAGGTAGTAGGTTTCCTTTCACTGGAGGTCTTCAAATAGAAGTTTGATGACCAGTTGGGGGAATGTATTTAATATTGTTCATTGCTTTGTCACTGGTTCCCAAAACAATGTGTGCCACACATTAGCCACCAACAAATACTTGTTGAATGAATGATTGAATAGAAGGAAGTTACTTATAACTAACATTTATGGAGCCCTCATGATTGGTCAGTGACAGCTAATTTTCCAAAACTTTATAGGAAGGGACAGTTATTTTTTTCATTTGGCAGATCAGAGAAGTGAAAGCTAGCAAAGGGAAAAACACTTGCTCAAGTCACCCAGAAGTGAGTGGAAGAGGCAGGATTTTGATTGTGCTGTATCAGTTTCCTGAGCCTGTTTCAAGTTTCAGAATGTGGTTGACCTAGATAATTTATAAGATTCCTTCATCAAACACTCCCTGATATATGCTGTTATTAATTAAACAAGGAGGCCAGGAGATGAGGTGGTTCTAATACCTTAGCAGCCTTTATAACAAAACCAAAACCTAAGCCTGTAAACACCTCAAGGTTGAGAAATCAAAACCTAAGTACAACCAATCACAAACAGCCAATTAAACTTCTGCAAATAAAGCAAAAGCTTAAGCTATAGCCAATCAAATAATTTCCTTGTTTTGCTTCTTCCTTTTCTTCGTAAAAGTGTCTCTCCTATTTCCTATCAACGGAGTGCTCTAACCACTTCCAGTTTGCTACTGCCTGATTGGAATTGATTTTTGCTCAAAAAAACTCTTAACATTTTTAATATACCTTAGTTTATCTTTTAACAACGCTGGTAGGAAGGACTTGAATTTATCAACTCTTACTACATTAGAACCAATTTATTGACAAAATTTGTTACCATTAAAATAGGTGGGTAGATATTTGGTCTCTGAGACAATTACATATATGTTATGGACATTATACTTAATTAGCAGGAAGAAGCACAGGAAAGTAGCCAGGCAGATTAATACAGTGTATAGGTTTGAGTAGCTGGAGGCCAGGATGGCTCTGGAGCTCTGTTGTATCTTGGATGCCTAGAAGAAGTGTATGGTGGTAGTGGAAGGTGGAGCTAATAACAGATTGCACTACTTTGCAATCTTGCTGGGTTTAAACTGTTAGTTACGTTTTGAGGATTAATGCAGAGTGTGAGCTCTTTGAGGCCAGGTTTAACACCTTACTAATATTTACATCCTTTGAGCCTTACACTGTGACTTTCAAAAGTATTGCATGAAGGATGTGGTCAGGACAGGATAAATGTGTGGTGATTGCCATTGTGCTTAGGGCAGCTGGAATGGTACTGGCTTTAATTTGTAACTCTTACTAGTAATGAGCCCTTGCTTGTTATGGTAACCCTAAAATTTACTAGTAGCTTATCTTTAAGATTTACCTCAAATTTTATTCTGGAAAGTATTACATGACCTACTTGTTTAAGTACCTTGGTTTGTTTGCTGTTTTTAAAATTATTTATCATTCTGTGTATCCATTTTATAACACCACTATGACAGATTGTAATGACCTCTTTAATTATCTGCATGTTCCCACTTCCCTCGCTCCCAACTCCGAACTCCTTGATGGTGTGGTAAACATGCTACTCATCTAGGGTTACCCTCAATGTCTAGCAAAATGCTTAACAAATAATTAATGCTGCCAAAGCGAAAATTGCACCCAGATAGGCAAGGAAGACTTTATTTGAAGCTACTGCAATAGAGGAGAGAGGCCAAAACTCAGTCTGATGTCAACCCTACTGAGCCAAAGGGTGGGAGAGTTTTTAAGAGCTGGGTGGAAAGATAAACTTTTTCCTCTCTTCATGACAGAGGGTAGTTTTACAGCTTGGCATAAGTTAGGCTTCTGCCTTACCACAGAAACTGAGAAATAGGGTTCTATCTTGCTTGATGATTACATTTCAAAGGGATGGCTTGTAGGTCCTTGAGAAAGACATTCTTGGGTTGTAAAATTAGAAGGAGTCTTCTAAACAAATTACAACTCAAAGGGTTAGAGAAATAATTTATAATTGCAAGTTTTCTAAAGTAAATTCTCTAAGTAAAGGGAGTTCAAGGGCATAGAGTCAAGAAGAAGCTTGTCTAAAGTCTAGTTGAGCTGAGGGGAACATTAAGGCCATTTTGGTCAGTGCTCACTCAGTAAGTTGTTGAATGAATGAACAAATGAATAAAGTTCATTCCTTAGAATCCTAATATTAAATGTGTCATCTTATTGAAAAAGTAATATTAAGAGTAATTAGAGCAAATTAAAATAATATTTAAAAGACTTCTTTTATCTCCTGTTGTTCATTTGATACTTCATTGTGTAAGTTCCATACCCCCCAAAATATATTACATGTTGAATATGCATAAGGTTTTAAAAAATTTTTTAAACTCCCCCATTTTTCAACTAGAGGCATCTTTATAAATCATTTCTTGCAGTGGAGCACATAATGATATATTAAATAACTTAAAAAATTTTTTTTCAGAAACTGTTGTATTTTCAACATTTTTCTTCATTCTCAAATCAAAAACATTACATCAGACTCTGAAACATTATGTACAAACTTTCTCTGTGGTAGCTACAGCTATAAAATAGAAATAATGCTGCTTTCTCTTCCTACGTTGATGGGTTGTTTATAAGGAGCAAATGAGAATGCGAAAGCACTTTAGAACTGTAAAAATAATTGTAGAAATGCAAGGATAAAATGAATAATGAACATATAAAGTCGATTATGGAGATATTTTTATTTTCTTTAATAATAATTTCTAAAGATATGATATGAAGACTCAGGCTATCTCCTAGGACATGGAAAATAATATTTGGTAACCATTACCTTAAAATTATTGGTAAGTCTGAGTTAGTGATATGTTTATTGAATTTTTCACAATCAATACAGTTAAAAATGTTTCAAATATACTGATTAGTGGTCTCTCAAAACACTGTAATTTCTAGAAGCATAATTATCAGGGAGATAGTGTCAAATGCTTGTGAAGATTACAGACTTTATTACTTGGATCCTGGTAGTCTATTTTCAAATCCCAGGTCTGCTACATTTCAGGTCTATAATCTTGAAAAAGCTATATGAACTCTCTAAGCCTCTGGTTTGTCATTTGTGAAGTAGGAAAAATATCTACCTCCTTTGGTTGCTGTGAGGATCAAATGGGACGGAATATGTATGGCACTGACTGAGCACAGTGACTGACTCATAGGGAGGTCTCAAAACTTGTGAAAAACACACACACACAAACACACACACACATACACACACACTCTTATACATAATTAGACCTAAAGCACGTATATATAATCCTAACCTGTACAGATTAACTTTCGGTTATATGTCTTTGGAATTTCCAGTGGTTTTGAAACAGTTCATTTTTAAAAATTTAAATACCAGTGTTTATAAATCTTTATCACACAATCATTTGATGTATGTTTTCTGTTTCTGCAGAAATTTTGATGGTACAGAAATTTTAGCAAGCCTCATATAATATATCATTAATTTTAAATTACTCTTGAAATAAAGATATTTACCAGACCATATTTGGAAAATGTATCAGAGGTACTGTAGTACAGAAGCAATAATACTGGTTGGAGTTTTTGAGATACAGGCTTTTCATTTACCATCTGCCTTTGAGGAAGTCACTCATTTTCTAGAATCCCAGTTTACTGATCTGTAACCACTTAGATAATTAAAACCACCTGAAAGGATTATTGTAAAGATCAAAGAGTTAATACATTTAAAAACACTTTATAAAATTTAAGAATTTGTTTAAGCCATCCCTCAGAAAAATGATGAACCCTCCTCAAAATTTGGTTTGGATGTCAAGACTGATGTTACTACGTACACACTAAGAGGGTATAAGAAGGTTTATGACTCACTTAAATGAGGTTTTCTGGGCAGAACAAGACAGACTCCCAAGA